TGAGCTGAGTAAAATGTGCAGTACTGGAATCAATCAGAGAGTGGCAGCATGCACAGGAAAGCAGCCTGTAGCATTCCCATGCAGAAGAAGAAGAGTTTCTCTCACTGCTGCCACTTTAGCCCAGCCCAGTCCAGGTGGCTAAAATGTTGGATTTTCCTCTCATAACTCTGGTAAATAATGATCAAATGTCACCAAATCCACAGGATTTGTTGTTGATGAAGAGAGGAATAAAACAGTTAAAGACTTGCAGGTAAATTAATTTCTTCCCATTTTATGTGGGAGGAACTGATTATTTCAGGCAGCTAAAATATCCATTCTCTCCCACTCTTCCCATTTTTTTGAGAAATAAAGACCAACTGCTTCCAAATTCTCAAAAATTGTTATGTGTGATAGGATGTTTTATGCCTTAAATCCAGTAATCTGTCATATTTTGCATTATAACAGGATGTACCAGAAAGCCTACACTCTCATCTTTGCCCTCAGGGCTTAGCCCATGATCTCCTAGAATCCTAGATCTGCCCCTGCTGTCCACTGTCTCCTAATGTTGGATTTGACCTCTGATCTTAACTGAGGGAGGCCTGCAGAGCAGTAGGGGGTCCAAGTTCTTCTGTGACTTCCTGGACAAGTTGTGTGGAAGCTTTTCAGTAAATTTTTCTCCCTGAGAGTATCAAACGTTCCATTTATTGCTGACTTTCTCTGTCAAATATTTATTTCAGACTTCTGGCAGTAACCAGGCCTACAACTGAGGCAGTAGATACAGCTGATCAAAACAAAGGATTCGAGGTTTTGTCTGAATATAAACAGTTCATCTGAAACATTTAAGCTGCACCAAAAAGTAAAACCCTGCTTTACTCTTTAAGGCCTCTGTGAGCCTCATCAAGCAGTCAGGATGTTTCTAACCCTCTCAGCTCCCCACATGTTCGCCCAGTTTCTCCTAAAGCTGCTCTTCTACTGAGGTAACCCAGATTATAACGATATGCTCCAGATTATCTCAGTAACTCACCCTTTCTCTCCTTTGTTGATGAATTTCTGAACTTCTTTCACTCCTCTCCGGATGTTCTTCACTTTAGCAGCTGCAAAAACACAAACACCTTCTGTAACTCCTGGCATAAAATAATGTTATAGAACACAGGAAGCAGAAACTAAAGCTCCACCCGGTAGATTAAATATCACCGATGGCTTCTTTTGGTGTTTCTACCTTTTTTCACGCACTTGTAGAGCTTCTTGCTGAGCTTCTTGGAGGCCAGCGGCTGAGCGATGGGGTTGAGATGAGCGATCAGCTCGGTGTAGCTCCGCTCCGTCCCTCCGGCCTCCGCCGCTGCTGGTTCCTCTCCATCCGCAGAGACTTTCTCCTTCTTTATTTTGGTCATTTCTGATCGATAGTTGATTATTTACCGCTCGTTTCTAATCTCACTCAGTCACAACATTCACCTCAATCAGTCCACCAGGCTGCCGCACGTGTTTCCCTTCTTCTTCTTTGTGTTGTTTATTGGTGGATGGCAAACAACTTAATAGCACATTACCGCCACCTACCGGCAAGGAGTCAGGATTCTAACGTTTATTCAAACTTACCGTAATACTTACCGAATACTACAGAAGAGGATTAGGGCGACTGAAAAAAAGAAAAAAGTTAACAGATTTTTTAATATTATTTCATTTCTGACTTTAATCTCAGAATTCTGACTTTATTCTCAGAATTCTGACTTTTTTCTCATATTATACAGAAATAAAATTTAAAAATCAGTTAACTTTTTTATTTTTTCCTCTTCCGGTGCATACAATTTAATGAATACATAAATAAATAAATTATATGAAATAATCAAGCATTCGATATCAGTAAAAATGTTAATGTATAGCATTTCTTAAACCCAAAACGTAATCTTTTTAAGGTTTCAGTAAGGTAGTTACAGTTTTAACTTTTCCCGAACAGTAGGTGTCGCACTAGTGCTTCATCGCTCCAATTGCCTCGTTTGTTTTTTTTTTTTCTTTCTTTTGTTTGTTTGTTTTTTTAAATTGCAAATTACAAGATATAAAACATAAAGAATATAAAATTTTTACATGTATCACAAATCCATTCATCATCAGGTCAGGTTTTGCCAGAAAATAATTTCTATCAAAAATAGGACCAAATGCTATCAAACAGAACACCCAAAAAAGACACACTAAAGCAAAATAAAATATATTTAACTAAAAACAAGTAAGTAGAATTAAAAACAAAATACATTCTGGGTTAATATGTCCCAGCTGTGATTTTAATTGAATCACGTTTAACTTAAAATAATCTCAGAGATTCGAAATATACATCAAAATTGTTTCTTCAATGACTAAATATGAGCTTAGTTTTGAAATACCTACAGATATGAGAGGGGAAATAATCCATAAGACAGTTTCTAAAATACTCCAAGGACATGTTTTCATTTTCTAGTCAAAATAATAATGTTGTTTCAGAAATTAAAGAGAGTTCAATATTCTTTGGGGATCTGTCCAAAAGTGATAAACTAGATTGTATGAAACAGAAATGTTTCATGAGCTTAATGCTTCTAAAACAAAATATATACTATTCTTTATTCAAGTTGAACTTAGATGCCAAAAACTTGTTAACTGGATATGGTCTATTTATTATTTTTGAATTGTATTTCTTTAGCTTTGGAAGGAGTGTAATCACAGGTATAAAGATACTTTCTGATGAAACTCAGACATTTTGACTTACAAAGAATTACAGCTAAAGTTACAGCAAAAAAAGAGAATCCATTCGAGCTATTTTCTGAAAAATATGGTGACTATAAAGGAAAACAAACCTGCATTTTAAGAAAAGCTTTCCGCGAATTTAATTCAAGGACTCCGTTCATTATATCCTAATCAATCAAATTTAAGCCTCCTTCTTCCAAATTCTTAACCACATGTTTTTCATTATGTGACACCATTTATTCCTTCAAATTATCTCCAATAGAATTTCAATAATTTTCATGAGTAAATCCTTCAAAGCTGGAAAAGATTAGGCATAGCAGATTATAATAAAGAGACCCTATATTTTATACAATAAAACTTTTCTGAATATTGAGATACCTCTTATCATTTCAATTCATTTCAGTTTAATTAGATTCAATAAGACTTATTAATCCCAAATGGAAATTCTTTCGGTACAGCCCGTCCAAGAAGACAAATTCGCAGACATTAATCACTGTATCTGAGGTCTTGCTGCCATGAAAGGCACTGTCCTTACAGTTAGGAAAAAATATTAAAGAAAATGGATCCAAATGGTAGGGAGGAAAAAAAAAAATCCCATTTCAAACTTTATCCTTATGATACAGTTTGAGAAGTATGAGGAGTGCGTATGGATGAAAGTGAAAGTTCAGAATGGATGAAAGGGAACGTTTTAAAGAATAAACATTTATATTTTTATTTTATTTTGTTTATATCAGGAATTTTAGTCTTGATTCTTTGTAATTAAAGCATGATCTTTGTCTTTGGTTTATTTTTTTTCTCTATTTCCATTGTGTAAAATTTAAGGATATTTTTTTATTTAGGTTTTTATTTGAGCCTAAACTAAAATAGTATTATTATATCATTCCTCAATTTTTTACATTCTTTCCTTTGCACAGTGGTCTTTCTTTACTTTGGAGAAAAAATATGCAACCTTCCAGTTAAGGTGTGGGTTTGGTCTCTTTTTTATTGCTCTGAGACATTTCATCAGAAAAATGAAATGTCAATGACTGAAGATTCAGCCATTGACATTTCATTGACATTTGCCATGCATGGACATTGGGTTCGGTTATGTAATTGCCAATGTAAATGGCAATCCAAATGTAGTAATTCTTAAGCGATGTTTGTGACTATTCTAACTTTCATGCTCATTTTCCATATTGTTCTACTTTACATATAGAAATGATTATCATCATGTATAATGATCTACATCACTGAGCAAAGCTAATAAGGAACAGCTGCAATATGTTGATGAAAAACCATTAGACATTTCAAAAAAAAAAAAAACATGAGCTGTTTACATAAACCTCAGAATGATGAGTGATGCACATCAGAATCAAAAAAGGTGTATTGTCCAGCAGTATTTAACATATACAAGGAAACTGATTTGATGGTAAGGTGCTAAATATAGACAAACATGACCTAAGTGAAATTCAAAATGTGTAACAATCCAATGAAATTTATAGAAATTATGTGAAAAAAAGGGAAATAGTGCAACTTTTTGTGGAGCACGAGCTCCCTGACAGATACTAAAAAATATAACAAAATAATGCAACTAAATCAAATAGTATTTATGTCAAGGTGACATTCATATAATTTGCAACAGAGAGTGTCAGTAAAAAATTTGGGCCTTGATAATGAGTCTAGCCACAACCGGGAAGAGGTTCGATTTGTGGCAAGAGGTTTTGGAGCTGATGAGCAGAGAAAAGAGTGAAACAGTTTGATTTGACAGTGGGAGGGGTAAGCTGCAATCCTTCCTGCAGAATGCATTCTCTGAAGAGAAGGACAACTGCAGACAATCACCCTTTCTGCAGAGCAGATTATGCAACCTGCTCTTGTCCCTGGTGGTGGCAGCAGCGCACCATATCATGATGGAACAGCTGAGGATGGACTCAGTAACGAGGGTTATTAGAAGTGCTTGTTCTAAACAAGCCTAAAATGGAACTGGTACTGATATTCCTTAAATCAGAGACCATCTTCACATTTTCCCAGCTTCACATGCTGCTTCTAGGCTGTCAGAAAATCTGTGACACAAAGCAGGCTAGAATCAGGCATGCTCAGCTAGGAGAGCCTGTCCTACAGGAGGGACGAGAGCAGAGGTGAAGGCCTCAAGCAGGATTCTAGCATAGGTTCCTGGGGGCCCAGGTGCTGCAGGATGTAGTGAAGCCTCATGTCTACTGCATCTACAGACCTGTTGGCTCTGTAGGTAAAATCAATGGATCAAGAAGTTGGTCTGGGATGGATTTCGGATGGGTCAGCAAAAGACACTCAAAGGATTTTATGGGAAAATTTTATGAATTTGAAGTCATTTTGTTCTGTGTTCTTTTGGGAGCAGGAATGATTGGGGGGGCTTTGACGAGGGCTGACACATGGCATGTATGCTAGACAAACGAAAGCATGCAGATAAACACACAAGGGTAAAGATCATAAAACACATAAAAAAGGGGAACAAATGGGGAAATTACATCTAAGAATACTGTGGAGCCAGTTGTTAAAAACACCATCATCAAAACTATCGAGTGACTGTGCAACTGAGTAATGTGATTAAAAAAAAAGATCTGTAAAATGCGTATGTATATTTATGCAAAAAAAAAAAAAACAGTTGGCCATTTACAAGAATGAAAATACTGTGCAAAACAGGATACATAAACACTGATTGAGTTTGGATTGAGCAGTGATGGTAAGATTTCAACAGCTGCTGGGAGGAATGATCTGTAGTAAAGCTCCCATGTGCATCTAGGGTAGAACAGTCTTTTGATGAATAAGTTCCGAACCTGCTGTCTTCCACTGCTTGCACTGGGTCCAGGGGCATCCTCAGACAGAGCTGACCTTCATACTGCTTCTTCACAGCTGCAAATAAGCTGTTGCTGTGTGGGTTTTTTGTGTGGGTGATCACATAATTCATGAAAAATGTTAAACATATTAATTAAAAGAGATGCCCGAGGCTCCTTTAGAGCAGTGGCATCACTTGCTGCCGATGATGTCACTCAGAACAGGTGGGAGTTCCCTCTTCTTCATTTCTGTGGCCATCTGACACCAAACGCAGGGAATACAGAAGGTGGAGCACAAGCAGTCATTGCACAAAGTGCCCTAATGAGAAAACAGAAAACAAAGAGAGATTCTAACCAGAACCACAACCAAAAGAGCCAGAAAGGACTTTTCTAACCAGAACCCCAAACAAGACAACAGTTATTGATAATAACGAGCATTTAAATGCATCAAAGATACATTTTCCCATTTATTAAGTAGTAATAAAGCAAAAACAAAAATGAAATTAGTAAAGGTACCAATTAAAGCTGTAATCTCTGAATAAACTATTAAAAAGACTCATCTACCATTCAATTGGGTTTTGGTTAGTCTATTTTTTTTCTGAGTCATTCAAGTAATTATGTGGGTTTAACAACTTTCTCTAAATAAAGGTCTGATTTGTTACAAAAAAAAACAAAAACCAAAAAAACCACATAAACCAAGTGCATGATGAACTGAAATTGCATATAGATACAGTACTCAGCTGTTCTTCTGTCAGGGTTTTTTTCCCTGATAGAAACTTAGATGGATCTGACGTTTAGCTTTATGTCCTTACTTTGATCCCGTAGCGGTGGCGCAGGGACACCCTGATGGACATGGTGATGGGATGGACGAAGCCCAAAACATCAATCAGGGGGAGACACATACACTGACCAAACTGTTTTGTGGTTTGACAGGCGAAGCAGGGACAGCACCAGAAGCCGAAACAGCCTGGGAAGAAAGGAAAAGGGTTGGTTAGCGGAAGCCTAAAGAAGTTCTGATCCCAATCGCTGGAAAGAACTATAGGAGGTGTGGATCACAACTCTGAGAATCAGCAAAGTTTAAATAGTGATACTTTACATTGTTTCTTATCTTCACAACAGTCGCAGATCCCAGAAGACCAATCATCATCAGAAGAAACAACCACCCTCTGTGGCTGTGTAGACACTGTCCAGCTCATGCTGCTCCTTGCAGGAACCCAACTCAGATCAGATTAAAAAGGTCTACTCCAGAATCAGTCCAGGTTCTGAAGGCTGGGGAGGATAACCTCATCTGGTAGAGACTGACCAAGGCTCTCTGAATGTAAAGGTTTCAGGTGAACCTGATCAGCGGGTCCGGTTGGTTTCGCCACTCAGTCAGTTATTCACAGTCAGACTCAGTGTCTGTTATTTTATTCGTCTCATCTGTTCTTTCTGTGAAATCCAATAATACAGGGAAGTCTGATTCAAGACATCTGAAAAAAAATATTGAGTGTAGTTCAAACTTTACTTACCAGCAGATTAAAAATAAATGAAAGGTAAATAAGTTTTGTTCTTCAGATATTTTGCTGCAGAATGTTCTGGATCCAGTGAAACCAGCAAAGCGGGAAGCAGATCTGAGACGTTTACATATGAAGCAGAGGGAAAAATCCTGCAGTAAATCTGGTTTGGTTGCATAATGATACACTAAGGTTATTTAGGATCTGAGAGAAAGGTTCAAATCATTTTTTGAATATTTCCTTCTTTGTCCAAGGATACAAAGGTTCGGTCCCCCATCTGTAGCGGCCATTGGTTTAGAGACTGGGACAGCCTGGACATGCCTCCAGTTTATCAAAGAGACACACAGGACATATAACCATGCATGCACTCATCATTGGGAGCAAATTACAGAATCTAATAAGCCTATAGCTATGTTGTTCCTGCAGAAGAAGGAAGTTAGAGTAAACAGAATACACCTGACCTGTGCATACAGAGTGGAGAACAGAGTGCATACAGAGAGGTAAAATGGCCCCTGCTAATGTAGCGTCTTTTCAAGCCAGGACACTTCACACTAGATTTGGTCAAAGCTACGTTATAGCCACAGCTGCCTGGAAGCACACTGACAGAAGAAAGGCTGCCCTATGCAGGGGCCACCAGGCCCTCTGACCCCCATAGGTAGGACATGAGGTTGAAAGGTCTCGCCCAATAATACAATGATTAAGACGAGTGTGGTGAGAAAAAAATGAAACCTCGATCCAGAAGAAGTTGGGATATGAACCCCGGATCTTCTTGCTGCAAGGCATTTGCTGCTCCACCATCAATAATTATAACCTTTAAGAAGTTGTTTTTGCTTTAGGAATCTAAAGTAAATGTCACAGCTTAGAAAAGTTGATAACAAATCATGCACCCTTTGAACTAAATTTGTCTAAAGAAAGTTGTTTGTGTGTGTGTTCTTGTTTTTAATACATTGTGGGGCACATTTTCTGGAAAGTAGCCCATTGTTGGGACCGACTGCACCTTGTGGGGCCCAATGCCTGCACCCTACAAGGGGAATTGCTGTTTTTTGGTCAGGGGTCACATTAAGGACTAATGTGTGAATGAGGGTTAGGGTTAGGTATGAACCTGTAATGATTAGGTTTAGGGTAAGGCTCACCATTAGGCCCCATAGAGAGATATTTTTTTTTAAAACAGCTTGGATGTTATTTTAATTAATTGTGAGTTATTTTTGTTGTGATCGAAATAAGCTGAATTAAAGCCATTTTAAACTATGATTCCCCCCCCCCCCCTATACTTCTAGGGGAAACATCTATCAGGATCTGTGGAGTTTTGTAGTGCAGTGTTTCCCAACAGGGGTAAGCAAACCCCTAGTGGACTGCGAGTGCATTGCAAGCCATACCTGAAAATATTTTATTTCTTAGGTAGTAAAATTAGATATGGCTGGGATCTGTTTTGCTTTTTAGGACTCAATCAGTCTGACTATAATGTCTTTTTTGTTCTTTATTTTTTCCCTGTTCAACAAGTTTAAATATTTTCATAAGGGAGCTCCAGTTTTATAAATACAGGTTTGTAATATTTTATTTGGTATTTATTTAAATTCCTCACTAAACTCCAGGCAACATGTTTATGTTGTTTTTTTATTTGAGATGGAAAGCATAAAATGATAATAAATGCTCAAATTAAATATAATCAGTTATTGTATATTCCACTTTTGGACAATCATCCAATACTTTTGAATGAGAGAGGTACTCATGGTGAGACAAAATACCCAAAAGGGAACACAAATCAAAAAAGGTTGGGAACCACTGTTGTAGATGACCCAAATGCAGAGACGGACGGCTGAGATGGTTTTTTGCAAATTTAATGGAGGCAGAGGGTACAGAAGTAATACATCCAGAAATGACCGGCAATGAACCCAGGAATCACAACTAGGAGACACTTGGGAGAAACAAACAAGAATGAAGAGAAACCGGCAATGGGGAATTGCACAGGAGGTGTATGTATGGGAGCTAGAACAATGAAAGGCTAATTAGCTGATAGGGAGCAGGTGTGGACAGAAGCAACTAGAAAGGAGCCAAGAGGAAAGCAAAGGACCCTAGGGGACAACAAAGAATAACGGGAAAAACAACAGGATCTAACTGTGAATAGAAAAGAACTTAAATAAAGCTAAATGGAAATAAAACAAATGATTACAACTAAAAATAGAACAATGAATAAATAATATCCAAAATGCTTAAAAGAGATAACTGAAAAAAATTACAAGGGAAAGTAAACTAATAATAATTCAACAATGATAAAAATCTTGAAAAACACAGGATTAAAAAAATAAAGCACAACTCAGAACCCCAAAAGAAATCGTAAATAGAACCAAAAAGAATCATGACAGCATCCATCTAAAATGATAAAGTACGAATGTCATATACAGCAACATTATGTATTTGGATATATACAGAAAAAAATGCACTCCTAAAGGAATTTGTTGGTAATGTAGATAATTTTAATATCAATATTGGAAAAGAAAAAGAAATGTCTCAGTGGGCTGTAGAATATGGTGGCTAAGGGGCCAAACCTGCAAATAAATGAAGTCACAGCAAATATAAAAAGTACTGCAAACACACGCAAATTAAAATGCTGCAAAGGTGAAAAGATGGAATTACAACTAACAGAGAGCAGCAAATGGCAAACATGCTGCAGATACAAAACTCATGCAAATGATAAATTATCTGAACACACAAAAAGCACAAAAAGAAAACGTTGCAAAAAAAGCTGCATGTTAAAAAAAGCTAGCACTATATAACAGAAGTGCTGCAGACCACAGGATAGATTATAATCATCCATTGTGAAAACAGTCCATAGCTTCCTCTTGATATGAATCACTTATCAGGCTTTAATTCAAAGGAACCAGCAGTTTAACATCTCAGGTTTTTAGGTAGTTTGATCCAGACTCAGAAGCGTAGAAGCTAAATGTCTCATCCTGGGTTCTAGAAACACAGAGTGAGCAGATCTCTATTGACTTAAGAGATCCAGAACTATGTAGTGCTTTACTGGCCAATAACAGAATTTCAAAGCTGGATGTTTCACACACAGTAAACAAGAGGGTTTTACCAGCTGGTTTTCATATGATGCTTTTTGGTTAAAACACCAGCAGAATCATTTTGGATGCATTGCCAGAATAAAGTGCAGACCCTTTGACAGTGATCCAACCTTTAAATCTACACCCAGTTGCTTACACCGGATCTTGACTCTTAGAATTGTGAGACTAGATTAGAACGTTTTTAAAAAAAATCCAGTTTGCATCCAGATGGACGTAATTTTGAGCCACCGACTTATTGAAAATGTTGGAATACAGAGTCAGTGATATAACAAAACTTTTAGCATAAAGTGTCCCTTAAATAGAATTACAAACCACTCCTATTTTAAAACCAGAACAGTTTCCTGTATTTAATGTTTTTTTCTAATGAAAAGGTTTCCGGCTCTGCTTCTCAGCCACTGATCCCTCCCCTTCAGTCAAATGTTGTTCTTGGCTCCTATACATCCACCATCATTCTGTTTCACCTTTGCAAGCTGGTCCCTGTTCAGCATTGGTGAACCTGTCTTTGGAAATTTTATTTACCAGTTAAAAAACATTTTAGACATGAACTGGTTATAAAGACCTTCAACTACTGGATTCAGATGGAAAACAACAAAGTTTGTTCTGCCATTCAAATGACTGTTAACCATGTTAGAGAGACTGTCATAGCAAAGAACATAGTACACATATAGATATATACATATATCATGTATTTAGTCAAATCCACATTATTAACTGATGATTTTATCTCACAGCTTAAAATAATATCTAACAGAAGCACAGTTTGTAAAAGGAGGAAGCCGTCGCTGTTTCCTGGTGTTAAATCTGGGCCTTTATTGTTCTGGCAGAGTATGCTTGTTTTAAAACCTCCTGCTGGGTCTGGCCCAGTTGGGTTATAATGCGGTCCTATGTAATCTACTCTAGTTTAATGCCACAGGGAAAACCAGAGCAGTTTCTAGACATTTCTTCTGAGTTTATCTGCTTCCAACATCCTCTGATATGAACCTTAACCTCAGAGACGCAGTAGAGCTGATGTTCTGATTGGATGATCCTCAGTACACCTCTCTGACTGAAGATGATGCTGCTTCATTTGTCCCGCTACATGTTTCTATGACGCTGCTGCATTAAATGATGTCAGCTGTAAAGAAAAGGGACCCAGCCTCAGAGCTCAGGGGCAGACCTCGTAGTCGCCTCCCTCAGGGCCTCCGTCTATTTGATAGATGTTCTCTATCGCCGAGCCTCGATGGTGCAGCTGCAGGGTGGAAGAGGTGGAGGTAAACTGGTCTGGCTGCCGCCGCTGTTGTAGAGTCCTGAAACAGAACCAAAACCAATCAGGTTTAGCTGTTCCTGTACAGATTAATTCCACACACTGATTTACACTGTGTTACATCAACCCCCAATTGATCCCAGGTTAGAGGTTAGAGCGGTTAGAGTTAGTGGGTAGAGCAGTGCGCTTATGCTCTGAGAAGGTTGCAAGTACTTGGTTCAATCCCCACAGCCTGCACTCTGGGTCCCTGAGCAAGACCCTTAACCCCCGATTGCTACCCAGGCACCACACGGTGGGAGCCCACTGCTCCGCAATGTGATCGGTTAAGATGTCGAAGTGAATTTCTCCATTGTAAGATTAATGATGTTCAACTATAAGGAATAAAAACCAAAAACACAGTGTTCGTGGAAATGTAATTAAAAAAGTACAGAGGAACAGAAAGCCAGTCATAGCAACACGACTTCCTTTGCACCACAGCAGAACCACAGGCTGATCGCCTCTATGCCACCTCATGTTGAAACAGGAATTCATGCAAATGGACATTTCATTACATACAGAACAAGGAGATGCTGCACCAACTTATTTTTATGGCCCACTTTGTGGGCCTTCATGACTTGTGAGCCATACAGTTGAAAATGGAAAGGAAACACTTTAATAAAAAGATAAATATTATAAAGATTGATCTGCTGTGGGCTTCTCGGTGGTGCAGTGGGTAGTGCTGCTTCCTTGCAGCAAGAAGTTTCTGTGTTAATTTATCAGCCTGGGGTCTTTCTGCATGGCGTTTGCATGTTCTCCCTGTGCATGTGCAGGTTCTCTCCGGGTACTCTAGCTTCATCCCACGGTCTAAAAACATGACTGTTAGGTTAATTGGTTTCTCTAAATTCTCCTCAGGTGTGAGTGTGTGCATGAATGGTTGTCCTGTGTGTCTGTGTTGCCCTGTGATGGACTTGTGATGTGTTGATGGATATGATATTAGCTTCACAAGCAACTGGCTGTTAATTATTATGATAAAACAGTATCTCTCTGTTTTTTTACAAAACACATTTTTGTATTTTTAGCTCAAAAACCTTTACTATTTATGAAACCATGAGCTCATTGTTAATTTCTCTTTTCCCTCCATCATGACAACCTTTAAATAAATGTGAAACCAGCAAAGAGGATCTGGGGCAGTTAGTGGCTGATTTCAGTTAAAGATGCAGTGAAACATTAAAGGTCATTTGCTTGCAGAGACAGCAATGCTGCAGCTTGCTGAGACCGTGTGGTTACCTAGTCATCTCCACGGTGGTCTCGTGACACCTTGGGTCTTACCAAACACTTAAACAGTGACATTTGAAAGATGTTTGCATCAGCTAAATGTTGAGGTATTGGCACCAGTTAGTGAGAAAACCTCTAAAGTTTCCATTTCTGGTAAAAAGGAAATCTCTAATTCTGAAGAGCTTAGGAACTGAAGGTTGTGATTCAGAGAGAAAAGAGGATGGCGAGGAGTTTTACTTCATTTTATGTAATTCAAATACCTAGTAAAACTGTATCTTTATATCTTTGATAGAATGAGTAAGGATTTCAAAACCTTTGCAGAAATTGTCAGCAATTGACTTCAAACCAAACACAACCAAACGTGTCCTTTTTCTGACAGCAATCCTTTTGGATGTATAATAAATAATGATGGACATTTGTGTTGTAAGTCCTAAACTCACCATATAAACCTCTACAGCTGACCAAAAGACAAATACTTTAAATTAAAACTGCAAATAAACAAATATTTGGGTTGAAAACAGCCAAAGTCCAGAGGAGACCTCTGACAGGACATATGGATCAGATGAGATTAAAAAATTGGATTTGAGTTTAGATTAAAGGAAGTTCTGAACATACAATTTTGGCTCAGAGTGGTACGTCCTGTAAATTGTCTGAATAAACCATTATTAAATCTAAACAAAGCCGCTCAAAGGTGTAAGGAAAATAAGTCTCTCTATAGCAGCTTGACAGGTTTCTATCAGAAATAATTTGGTGTTGAATGTTTTGTCTGTTTGATGAGGGGTCCGTGGCCCCTGTTTTCTTTACAGGAACAACTGAGCATCATCAGCTGAGCATCACTCCTTACTATGTGCCTCTGAAACCTAGTGTGAGGTTTGTGGTTTTCAAACGTATTCTTTAGTCTCCAAGTTTCAGTCTGAACACACCAGGTTCCACTGATGTGTGGGAGACCATGACTCTTAAAGATTCATCATCAGTTTCCCGGAGGAAAAAGCTGTAATAAAGTCAAGTCATGAATCAGCAGCAGTTTAACAAACCAACAAGGTCACGAACTGCATGGAGGATTTATTGTAACAGATGAAGAAACATTAAAACACTCACAGTTTGAGCTGCCCCCATCTTCTGGCTGCAAAGACACAATGACATCAAGATATATTAAAGAAATAAAACAGTTTTATTCATGATCAACAGTTGAAAAAGAAAGAACATCCTCTCTCAGTTCAAGAACATTAACTTAAATAATCATTAGGTTCTAATATGCATAATATTAGAGTATAAAAACACCAGTGGTAGACTCTGTTCTGCAAATCAGATGAAAGCTAGCTTTTCTTCTATCAGATTAGCTAAACTTTGAATCTGCTAACAGACCAGTGGGCTTCCAATATATTAAAAATGACATACTGTAGCAGCAACCAGCTGAAGGAGCCAGCAAGCGAACCAAGTATCATACAGAACTAAGTTTATTTTAATTGAAGTTAGTTAAATAATAGTTTTCTTACCTAATGTGATTAAAGTTACTATCATGTATGCATGCCATAAATGGTTATGAGTAATAATTATACCAACCCATTTCTCAAATGCAATGTACAAATACAATGAGAACAATGACAATACAGGATGATAATTTAATTTAGGGGCTGATATCTAAACATTTTCCATCTTTTCTTGATAATGACCAAGTGCTCATATCAACAACTATGGCATTGTACTGCAGAAAAACTATCCTTATAGACATCCATATTTATTTATTTATTTGTTCATTTTAGTCACATGATACAAAGGGGTAGGTATTTGATTGGATTACTAACACTTTTGATGATAAAATGGCTTCAATAGTTTTTCATTGACTGTGTCTTCAGTTCATTTCAGTTAAATGAACGTAGGTTATTAAGCTAACACTTAGGTTATCTGTCATCTTCAGCTGCTAAACAGATGGTTTAACATGAGACTCTAAAATATGTTGGTAAACAATGGTGGTCATGGTCACCCTAGTGACTGCAAATGGCCCAGGACTGTGGAGACAGAACTAGCCCAAATCATCACACCTCCAACACTGTACCTTATAGCTTAGCTGCTATGTGGTATTTAGGCTTGTCTTCTGTCCACTACGGTCAAATATTTCTGCTATGGCCTAATCTTTCCAGAGGACATTAAACCTGGGGTCTGATTCAAAAAGGTTTATTGAAAGCTCATTTAAGTTTTTTAAACCTGAAATCAGGGAAACTATGACCTTTCCATATCACAGTTTAGTCAAACTCTGTTTCTGTTACCATAGTAACATTCTCCCTAGAGCTAACCTGGTTGGGAACAAATTTTCTTCAGTAAACTCAGAGTGTCCTCTGTCTATATGTTACAGTACATGAAGACCTAATAAAACAATATTCAGATTACACATAAACAAATTAATAAAAAAAAAACATATTGGGGTTAGGATAAGGGTCCATTCAGTGATAACAACCGACTGAGCCATGTAGAAGTCTTTAAGTTATAATCAAAGGTACTCTAAAACTAAAAATCGAGAGAATCAAATTGTCTGATTATTTTGCATCTTATTGAATTAAACAAGTAAAACAGCAGAAAAAACCCAATAACCTAATGTGTGCAATTACAGATAGATATTATTTCTAGCTCTTGACAAGGTTTGCAAACAGTGAAGCAGGGATTTTGAATAACTTCTCTATAAAGATCCATAGATCCTTCTTGTTTTGGGGCTGTAGCTGGGTAAAATGGACTTTATGCTGCGTTCAAAGGTTTTAGATTTAGATCAGGTCTGGAGACTAACTAGGCCACTCTAGGGCCTTGAGATGATTCTTGCAGTCACTTCCTTAGTTGCCCTTACTGAGGGAAGAAGGTTATTGGCCAAGGTCTCCAGATACATAGTACCATCGTTTAATGCCACTGGCCCTGTACTGCTGTGTTGTTCTGGGCTGATCCTCACCTTCCTCACTATTTCCCATAAAGGTCAGATCGTGCATGGAGCCCCAGACCAAAAGAGGTTGACCAGTATCTTGAACTTTACAATCCTAAATTAGCCCATCCCAGCTTTCTGCATATTAACTGTTTTATCCGTGACACTGAAACAGCTCTCTGGCCTTTGCCATTGTGGAGACATTTTAGTTTCTTTTCATTTAGTGTATGGAAAGGTGTATTTTCTAGTGATAACAAATTGAAGCATCTATTACAGGTAATGAGTGGAGAACAGGAGGGCTTCTTAAAAAAACAAAATTAACAAGCCTGTTAGGAACACCATTCTTACTGGTTGGTAGGTGATCAAATATTTATTGCATGAAATAAATTAAAAATTTACCACTTAAAAATTATCGTATATGATTTTCCAGATCTTTGTTTTAGATTCTGTCACAGCTGTAGATTACCCATGATATAAAAATGTAAGTGGGAAAATCTGCAAAGCCAGCAGTGGGTTTGATATTTATTCAAAGCTTGTTCTTGAATTCAATTTTTAGTGTTACCAAATCAGTCAGAAACAACTCACCCATAATGAAGAGTCCGATTATAGTGACAAGAACCACCAAGAAGAACAGAACGCACACCAGAACCACCGTCAGCATGTTGCCCTTCTGCTGAAGCTTCAAACAGAAACATAAAGCGTCAGTCAGCTGAGGTGATAATCATTCAGGAAATTATCTGCCCTGTCATGGTTCAGAGAGATACTTTTGTTTTCCAGCAGTTGTTCATCTGAGACACAAATCATCTAGACAAACACACCTGGTGCATTTATAGAACAGAAACCAGAACCAAACTGAAAGAAGAAAATGGTTCTTTTAATGTACGGTAATACATCCAAGCATATCAGTAGAGGTTTAGTGGTAACCAAGCAAATAAACGCTCTAATTGAGACCATATGATTTATGGATACTGTTTGAAACAACCTGACTCTAATTACTGGATTTAGTAAACAAAATGTTTCCAGTAGCAGGAAAGAATGAAGTTAACAACAGACAGAAAAATAAACTAGCTTTGAGGTTTAGACCTTACTGTATTTTGATAAGTTGCTGCTCCCTGTGACCCGCTTTCTGACCCACTGTAACTTAGGAATTTGTTTACAGCTACCCTGTACTGTGATCCACTAGAAAGGCCTAGAGAACACCAGAGGGAGGATCTAAGAGGTACTAGAGTGGAGGAAGAGAAGTTCTGAAATCTAAAGGTTGAGAAATTTGTTGATGAACTAAATGTTTTTCTCCACTGTAAACTAAGTAAAATGTATAGAATTTTACATTTACCTAGAAGAAAAGGTTTTCTGACAGAACAACGTCCTGAACCACCTCACCGGTTGAAAGTAACCAAACCAGCTCTTTGACTGGGTTTAAAAAAAAATACCCTAGTATATATATATACTGAAACATAGTGCTCCATTTGGTCAAACATGACCTGGTTTCCTAAAGGCATAACTGGAAAATGATTATAGGTCACACTAGTGCTACCAGCCTTAAGGGCTTGGTAGTGTTAGAAACCTCAGTTCAGATTTTATTTCAATTCTTTGTGTAATAATTTGAAATACTTTCATAATTTACTCCAATTTTGAACAATGAGACATCTGAAAATAAAGCATGAGCACAGCAATATGCTTACTGAATATGGATAGAAAAAGCATTTCAGTAGGGTTGGACTAGGGGAGAAAAAGTGTCCTGGGAGTTCCTGACAGGGACCGAGACACTTTATCACTAAAGTTATGTATCTGTTGTTGCCTAAATGTTTATTAGATTTTTTTTAAAGTTCCATATAATCCTGCAATATTTTTGTCACCTTGTATAATTTTATGGACATGATGTTGTAACGCCCAACAAGGCAAGACTCCTGACTAGTTCGTAGCAAAGGCAGAAGTAAGTTTGATTATAGAGCCTGTATGTGTAAATAAGCAAGCAAAGTATCTTTTAATAAGTCAAATGAATCCTAGTTTGCAGGGCGCTACCATAGACTAGCGACCTGTCCAGGATGTACCCCACCTCCTGCCCATTGACAGCTGGAGGTAGACACCAGCACCCCTCGTGACCCGAGCCGGGAAAAGCGTGACAGAAAATGGATGGATGGATGGATGGATGGATGGATGGATGGATGGATGGATGGATGGATGGATGGATGGATGGATGGA